TGCTGAACATTTAGAACACTTTTAAAGGAAAACAAAAGATCTGACCAAATGTAAGGTATCTCTGTTGTAGCATTCAAATTATGAGAAACTCTCTTGACTCTTTTTAAAGGCACTTGTGTGATCCGAGTGCCAAAAGTTTAGTCCTATATGTTTAATAAAGTACTGGGCTTTGCCAAGAGGTTAGCTTTTAGAGCGTAACCATACAAAGAAGTATGCTCTCATTTATGATGTTATAACAGTTTAAGAATCAATAAACAGTTCTCTGTAGTCTCAAAGGCAACCTTAAGTGGAGGAAAGAAACAATAAATAGAAATAAAAAACTAGTTAACTGAACATTTTCTATTTTGGCAAAGTTGAATTCCGTCTGTATTTTGCAGTGTTGTTATGCCCTTGACAGTTTACACAGATCAGCCAGTAAGTGATACAGTCTTCAAAAATTCAGCAACTTTGTTAGTTTAGTCATAAATGTGCCTTGTCTTCTTTTTGCCTTGTTTTGAAAGTTTATTTATATCTATTTCAAATATTTTTAATTCCGTGTGGCAGGAGAAATGGTACCCAACATTTTTGCTTAACTTTGAAGATACTTCTGCTTTCTAAAGCTGTTTCCAGTTTTAAAACCGTTGAATTTCCATTGTGAATCTTCCAACTTGATCTTTTCCCAACATGATATTTGTAGCTGGTTTGGGAAAGTAATTATTTGAATATTTGAGAACAACAAAGATGAAAGATAATGTCCTGATTTCAAAGATTTATTTTTTGGAAAAAAAGTATAAATTTGACTGTATAACTGAAGACTTAAGTGGTATACATGTGTAAAGAGATGAAATTAAGGTTACCTGTACAGTCTTTCATTTTAATTTCTTGACCTGTTGTGCTTAAACATACATCATAAAAATTTATGGTTTTTTTAATAGTTACATAATAATTTGGCTGTCAGGCTCTCTAAATAAGCGTATAAATCAGCAGCATTTAACTGATGTAATTTTTTTCTTCAGCTTACCATGGATACAGTCCTATGATGGAATGCCCACAAGGCTACAAGAGGATCAATGCTACGTTTTGTCAAGGTATGACAGCGCCCACAATTGATTGCGTTTATTTTGAGTATATTTAGGCTATTTTTAATTCTTTGCAAATATTGGCAACTCCATAGAGTGTTTTTTTGCTCCGGGGCAAAAAACGTTCAAAACTTTTACATATACTGTCATTTTCTTTGATGTTGTATAAAGATGACTTCATAAGGATTCGTTTACTTTGTTTTTCAATAGACTTGTGCTTGTTCTTTGTGTGTATGTTGAAGTATTGAACAGAGGTGCCAGATGAGGATGTAGGAAAAAGCTTAATTGGTTGGCCGACTTTTTTGGCACAGCTCAGGTAAAGAAGAGAAAGGAGCTCTGAGAAGATGGGGGCAATCCTGCAGTGGTGCCCTGGAGAGAGATTTGGGAAGGAGGGGAAGAATGAGCTCAAACCTGTGGTCAGGTTTGTTAGTCATTGTTGACACTGCAAGGGGAAAAGAGGTCCCAGCAAATAGCAGTCATGGTGGAGAGAAGGAGAAAATGAGAGTAGTTGGTGTTAAAGGATATATGTGGGCACGTTGGAGATAATTTTGCTTAACTGAAAACTTTCAGGTAGCACATTGATGGAAGAACGTGCAGCAGCCAGCCACGTAAAGAAATTATTTTACCAGTCATGGTTTGTAGAGCACTAAACACAAAGATCCCGCTGCTTCCACCGCTGGGGGAGATGTGAGTTGCTGTATGAAAATGTAGGCACTTGAGCCTGTCTGCTGCTCAGTCCTGTCCTAGTGGTTTACCAGCTTGCAGGGTAGGGGCACTTGGAGGATTGTGAGAGAAAATTGGGTTGGGTCAAAATGGTAGAAAAGCGAACTGGAGGAGAGCTGCAACTTGCATCTCAAGAGCTTGTTCCCTGGTCTGTGGGGTCCTCTTAGTAAATAAAAGGGATGGGGAGACGCTGATGGCAACTTACTGATAAGGACTGCGAAGTTAAAAGGTGAAGGAGGTGAATGTAAGGCATGGATGGGCCACCTTTCTCAAACCTCAGATTAAACACGCAGGTGGTGCTTGTATTTCAGGAAGATGTTTCCAGACATTTTAAAAGAGATTGTCTCATTCCATGTATTAGTTAAAAGGTTTTTCAGAGTCTGCAAAAGAGAGGATTTCTAACTTTGAGCACAGAAAGTGTCTAGAAGATGCTGTGATGCACTAGTACCATCATGCATCCCTCTGAACATAGTTCAGGAGAGACAGGAGCTTTGGGTATCTCCAGGAGCTGTGCTCAAACCCCACTGTCTATATGATGGTTTCCTAGAGCAGCCCAGCAGACAGTTAAAGGTGAGGAGGGCATTCAGTTTGTTGCAAGGGTTGGTGGCAAACCTTATTTAATGGAAACAAAAATCCTTAATCAGGAGCTACAGACAGTTTAAAAATGGTCCAGTGCTAGTGAAGGTTGACAGAAGGAGGCCAGGAGGTTGTTTTGCTGAGCAGTGACAGGCTGCTAGGGAGGGAGAGCATATGTCTCTGGGTGGGAGCATAAGAGGGAGCTAAGTCCTGCCATCAGTGTGCAGAAATAGATCTGTACCTGGTAGGCTGCTCATTGTTTATTATTCTGGGTTTTGATGGTTTTTCCCCTGACACATTTTTGTACTCTGTAACTAATACTGCAAGATATATGAGGCTTTAAATGATTTATTTTATTACTGCTGTCATTATCCCGGAAGACGGCGAGCTGCAGGCTCTAAATATAACTTGTTCTTGATACTTGGAAACTGAGAAACTAGAGTTTAATCAGATAATGGGAGTTGGATTATCCCCCGAGGAAGTAGATGGCTGGTGGACTGAGGATGGGGGCAATCTCTTACCTTTCTGGACAGAACAGAGGTGGTGGCTGCTGTAGGCTCCCCTTATTGTCTTAACGAGGCTTGGGTGGCTTCTCTGCGATTTACTCCCCAGCACGCTCCAAAAAGGAGGTACAAATAAGGAAAGAACTGGGACGATTACCCATGAAACAAAGCCAGGGTGAAATTTATACCTGTTGAAGTAAGTAACAAGATGACTTTTTCTTTCAGAGGGTCAGGATTTTGACCTCTGTTTGAATGGTCGTCGGGAAAGCTAGCTTCACATGCTGGCAGGATACAATTCCATCCTGAGATGGCCATTGGGTCGGGCAACAGTGTCCTGTTTGTGTTTGTCAGAAGCAGACATACTTTTCTAGAACGGAAAACAAACAGGGAGTAAAGCAACAGCAATACCTGTGAAAACTGTTTAAGCTGCTGGCAGGGGATTATTCGTATTCTTGTAGTAATCCTTACAGTTAAATTGGAAAGGAGTGGCACAGCATGTCCATATGCAGGTATACATTTTAATTAGATTATTCTTTGCTGAAAGTGTGTGCATGCTGTGCCCATGCTCAGAAAGGGCCGGCATTGCCAGGCCAAATCCTAAGGAGGATAGATTTCTGAATCCCTGCCTGCAGCTAAAAGAGATGGCTGTTTTCACCTAGATATTGTCCAGCTTTTACTGCCTTTGAAAACTCAGGCTTAAAAGCCTAATTAACCTTTTGTTCCACATTGTTTTTTGCTGTCAAAAGCCTCCTTAGTTTACAAAGCCTATGTAGTATTAGGGTGATTAATAACCAGATGCTGATTTTTTTCCTTTCAAGTGAGGGAACTAATGTAATGGAACATTCTTCTCCCTAGTGTGGATGTAGGACAACAAAGAACCATCTGTGGGTATGCTAATTCGAACAGTTTAGTGTAATTGCTATCAAGAAAGCTTTTTTCCCCCTCAGTAATAATCTTTTCAATGGGATGATTTATTACATGTACACACATGGATGCCCTAAGGCTGTCATTAAAGCCAAAATACAGCTTATCAGAGTTGCAACTTCTTTGTCAGAATCCACATGCAATGCTAATTTCTGGTTCCCTGTTTAGAATTATACTTACTGTTTCCTTCTTCTGCTAATGGTTTTCTTGGAAAACTGAAATAGAATGAAAAAAACAGCTGGTGAAAGGGTTGGATTCATTTTTCAGGAAACTAACATATTGCCAATAGACCACTTTAAAAATCTTATCTTGAAGAACTGGAAAAATACCTGAACACTTGTTGTTTTTTCAATGAAGTAAAAAGTTGTGCATGGAAGTTCTTGAAAAGTCCCCATATGCTTAAAATTAAATGTATATGAACTTGCAGAAACTAGTACTTGCATGTTGATGGATCAAATTCTGTAATCATGTGCTCTGGGGACTTCAAGCTTTTTTCCTCTTTGCTTCATTGTGATTTAAAATAAATTTTGAAGGTATATTCTGCCCTCCTACCTTTGACCCTAAAATACAGTGATAAATCTGTTTTCTCTGCATGTTTTATATGTATTTTATTGCTTTTAAGCAATAGAAGAGCTTTGCTTCATAAGAAATGCTACTTAATGTTACTTAGCTACTAAGTTAACAGCCTTCTTTCAAAGAAGTTCTTTTATGATGATCATACTGAGAAATAAATATATCTCCAGAAACTGGGCTGGGTTGCTGTTTGGACGTTGATTATGTGTTTGAAAAGTGTGGCTCTGCAAACTTGCGTTCCAGTAGATTCCACGCAGAAGCACAATATGAGTTGGATGGATTTCTCCTGCTGCTACTCTGTTAGCTCACAGAAAACAGTGGGTCATTTCTTAGAATAACCAACTGTTTTTTCTATCGTTTAAAAAAAAAATATATTGCAATAGTTTCATTAGCAACTAAACCTTGTTGTTTGTTTCTTTTACCCCTTGTTCTCACTGGTCAGGTTATTATTGAAGCAATCAATTAGAATGGAGCCAGTAAAATCTGGATATTATATTATTCTTAGAACTGAGGATGTTTATAGTGGTTAATGATTTAGCTATAGCAGAAACAGTTGGAACAGTATTTTCAGTGGTGTTAGTAGATACAGTTGTAATTGATTTTCACAAAGAGAATAAAATACAATGCCTGCATATTGAGCCAATTTGGAGATCATTCAGTCAGATGGCACTCCCAGTGAAGCCTAGCGTATACCTACCAGAGTGAGTCAAATTGTCACAAGTGAGATGTAAATTATATATTCCGGTCTTAATTTACAACATGAGATTTTGTACATACTAAAGCACTTACTGCATGAAAACATCTGTCAGGGCAGATATTACTAAATAACATTTAATAGCTGACCACTAGATCATTTCTAATGAAGAAGTTGACAAATTCTAATTAGTATATAATTGGTCTAGAAGTGTCAAAGTCAGTGTTTGAAAAGCATAGAAATCTGATTTCAGAGCTAAGTGCAGAATTTTACCTTTCCGTGGTGCTTAGGAATCAGCTGTGGCTGCTGGTGTTGAGATTGCTTGTGTCCTCTGGCACCAGCACTTGGGACAGAAGGGCTGCAGGACTTTCTAGCCACAGGTTTATTCTGAATATTTCAGTGCAGCTAGCAGGGCTGTGGTGGTCTGACTAGGCTTTCTGCTTCTGTAAGTTCCCTTTCTTGGGCCAGTTTTCCTAAGAACCTTCTGGATATCCTGACTGTGCTAGCTGGAGGCTGTTGCGTATTTAGTTTTTATACCTTGTCATCTGTGTCATGTGTTGTCTTAAAAATTTTGAAATTATAAGTTGTTTTTTTCTGAAAATCTGAATTTTTTGTTGTCCTTTGAGACAGGTTTATTCATGTTATCAAAAATCACCTACCAAATGTGTAAAATTGAAAACACATTGAATACAAATGAGATCTATTGTTTCAAAAGAGGGATTATTATTTAATTAATATTGAATTACTTCTTAGTGTTCTTCAGCCTTTCTTATGAAAATTTTAAGTCTTTTAGTTACTTCAGCATAATATAGTAAAAAAAAAAAAAAAATCCTGATCCAGTTTTAATAGTTGACTCTATCATTTCAAAGTTATCAGTGCTCCTGAAAATAAATTTGGCTGCATTCTTTACATGAATGATGGCAGTGATTTCTTTCAAAAATCAGATTAAAGGATATTTTTGTTTACATTTGCATTGTTCAAAATTCTTGTAGTGACCCTTGACTTTTTTGAACTAG